ATTATAAAAGGGAACCAGTCAGAAATGGAGAACACAGTATCTGAGATGAAGAGCATATTATATGGAATTAACAGAGTGGATAAAGAAGAGGGTCAAACCACTGATATAAAGGACGGAGAAGCCAAAGAAACCCAATCAGAACAGCAAGAAAAAAGAAGCCAATACTACAATAATAATTTACAGAGCCTACAGGACACAATTAAATGTAAAAATATCCATGTTATTGGGGTACCTGAAGGAAAACAGGACATTGAAGAGCTATTTGAAGAAATAATGATGGAAAACTTCCCTCATCTGGTGAAGGAAATAGACATACAACCCCAGGAAGCTCAGAAAGTCCCAAAAAAAGAGGAACCCAAAGAGGCCCACACCAAGACACATCACCATTAAAATGCCAAAGGTTAAATACAAAGAGAGAATCTTAAAAGCAGCAAGAGAAAAGCAGCTAGTCACCTACAAGGGAACACCCATAAGGCTGGCAGCTGATTTCTCAAAAGAAACTATGCAGGACAGAAGGGCTTGGCACAAAATATTTTACATGATGAAAACCCAGGATCTACAGCCAAGAATACTTTATCCAGCAAAGCTATCATTTAGAGTCGAAAGACAGATAAAGATCTTCCCAGACAAAAATAAGCTAAAAGAATTCATCGACACCAAGCCAGTATTACAGGAAATCTTGGAGGGACTTCTTTAAGAAGAAAAAAACATGTATCAAAAACAGGAATAAAGAATGGTAACAACTACATTCCTATCAATAAGTACCTCAAATGGAAAAGAAGTAAGTGCTCCAACCAAAAGATAGAGTGGATGAATGGAAGGGAAGACAAGACCCCTACATGTGCTGCCTACAAGAGAATCACTTCGGATTAAAAGGCACACACAGACTAAAAGGAAGGGGATGGAAAGAGATATTGCTTTGATGAATCTAGAAGGTATTTAAGTCAGACAGAGAAAGATAAACACGATATGATTTCACTTATATGCAGAATCCAAGGAATAAAAAGAACAAACTAATTGAAAACAGACTCACAAATATAGTGGACAATTTGGTGACAGACAGAGGGGAGGGGGAATTGGGGGGCTGGGAGACTGGCGAGAAGGGTTAAAGAAGTACAAATTAGTAGCTGATGGATGGTCACGGGGATGGGGAGTGCTGCACAGGGAATGCAGTTAGCATTAATATGTTGGCTAGATGGAGGGTCAGGGGATGGAGGGAGCAATTGGGGGGATCGTTTTACGAACTATATAGATATTAACTAATGTACTTACACTTGAAACTAACTAAAATAAACAAATTTCAAAAAAGTTTCTACCATTGGAATATATGTTCTTATCTTGTTCGGTTAAACATGTGTAAAATGTATAAAAAGGATTCAGGGTACAAAACACAGATCCTTATGGGTTTATTTACATAAATCTTACCACATTCTTTTGAGTATTTTTGGAGCAAGTTTAACTAAAGTCCTATGTAATCCCATGATTACTTAAATACCATGTTGTCAAAGCATGTGGCTGCCCAAAGGCTGAAAACCATTTTTTCCAATACCTTTTGCCCAAAGAGGCATCTCATAGGGCAGGCCTACCCACAAAAGGTAAAAGGGAGAGGTAGTTCCCACTCTGCTTTCTGGAAATATCATCTCTCTGAAAACCACCCCATGCTACTCTTGACTAAGTCATCAAAGTAAGACAGTCAGAACAGGGTAGATTATACTTCAGTGACAAGTACAATTTTTTAGAGTGGCTTTTTGATAGATGAAAGATGGCCACAATGTGGTTAGCTGCTTCTTGTTAAGAGGTAAAATCTGATTCTTCTTCTCCTTAATCTGGACTGGCCCTTAGTGATTTGTTTGACCAAGAGAATGTGATAGAAGTGACATGTTTGGATTTCTGAAGCGAGATTTTAAGAAGCTCTACATCTTTTACCCAGGCCTCTGGGAACTCTTCCTGTAGAGAAAGTAAGTATGACAGCCCTCAAAACTGCCACACTGAAAAAAGCTCAAGTAGCCACATGGAGAGGCTGCTTGAATAAAAGAGTTATCAGTCTCCAGTTGTTCGGCCACCCTCTACCAGGTGTTAGACCTGTGCATGCAAAGACTTCAAAATCTTAGCCTTATCCTCCAAGTATCTGCTACCCTATAAAGGAACCCAAGGGGAAAAAATCCTGCTAAGCCTATGGACACCCAGAACCATGAGACATGCTATTGGAGAGGTTAGTTATGCAGCAATAGCTAACCCGAACAGGCTTATCACAATAAAAATGTATTTCTTGCCTATGCAGAGTCCATTAAGAATACAGGAGAACATTCAGAGCAACTGTTCTCCAGGATCCATCTCAGCAATTCAGGCATCTCTGATCCTTTCTCTAAAAGTTCCATAACAGGAGAAGGGAACACTGGAGTGTCTCGCAACAATGATTAAAAGCTTCAACCTGCATACCATACGCATCCCTTCTGCTTGCAGACCATTGGCCGGAACTTTTACAATGGTAGGCCTAACTTCAAAGAGGATATGGAAGCATACTCCTCTGCAGGCTGGGAAGGAAAAGGGAGATGGATATGCATCTACCATATTCATCCTCTCTCTCCTGCTATTGTGTCACCTCGTCAGGGTCCAAGGG